GACGTAGTCGTCTCAATTCACGATTCCAACGCTTCTGGGCCGCGCGCCGCGCCGCTGAGCCGCCGCGCCGCGGCCGCCTCTTGCTCTGCTTCAGCTTCCACCTCCACCACCTCCCCCTCCTCCTCCTCCTCCTTCCCCTCCCGCGAGCCCCAAGCCCACCGGCGGTGCCGGCGCACTATTACTACGTCACACCCGGCGAACAGCGCCGGCGCAGCCACCACGCACCTAGTCCCGCCTACCCGTTGACGTAGACGCCACGGGACGGTCCCGCCTTGAGGCCCCACGACGGGCTGCGCCTGCGCACACCCGCTAACCTAAGCTGCGCTCAGCGATCTCACCACACGCCCTTTTGCGCCTGCGTGTTCAGTGCTGCTTCATGCCCTGCTGCGTGGTTCTCGACGCTCTAGGCCCTAAAGCACCCAGGCTCGGGTGGCTTTGGTGTAGTGGGGCGTGCTAGGCGAGAGCACGGGAGAGCAGGGGAAGGGGTGTGGTGGAGCAGGAGATCCAAGAAGAGGGACAGGGCTCAGGCAAAGCAATGGGGGAAATGGATCCGAGGCATCATTTATTCTCTTTTATTTAACTTTAAGCAGAGCTTGAGCAGAAAGAGGTCAGAGGAGTGAAGCTGGACTAGAATCAGGGCGTACGATTCATCTGAGGCTCACTGGTGACCCGTGTCAGCCCAGAGGAACTTGGAGTGGCCTGCCACTCCAGGGGAATGCAGAACTTGAAAGGCAAAACTTGGGACCCGAAGAGTAATGTGGCGGCAAGGGGACCGTCGTCGTCATGGGGCAACCCCTGCAGACGGGTCCATAATAAATACACCTCTGGAGAAAGTGATAGAAACTGAGGCCCAATAGAGGGAAGTGAAGATGAGGCTTCTTGTGGGTTGAAGAGGCAGAGAGTACTTGGAGGGAGACTTTGTGGACTTCTGCCAACAGACAGGATGATTCTCTCAACCTGCCGCTAGATGGTGATGCTGTTCTGGAAGCATTCCAGTGGGACCCAAAGCAGGTCTAGACAATTCCTGGCATTCTCTCCTTACCCCTTCAAAGCTCCAAGAATTTGGAGCTGGATGGGGGATAAAAGTAAGATATTCTACCTCTTTAATATCCGTGAAATCAAAGTCGTGGAGGTGGGGGTAGAAAGGGAAAAAGAAACAGTCATGAGCTGTCATACCCAGAGTTCCAGTCAAACCCAGAAGAGGCCTCTGTTCTACCTATTCCCTGTCCTTTGTCTAGTCAGCTCGTTTGTCTCCAATATGTACGCACCCTGGTCTTCCAAGCCCAGAACCACCTTTAATCACAATCATAGTTTCACAAATCCCAGGAAGGTTCCATCTGGAGAGAGGCTAAGTTTTGCTCTTGCTCGGGGGATTATGACACTCAGAACATCCCCTTGGTGTAAATGGAAGACACCTGAGAAAAGGGAGAATATGGATGCTCAGTGAAGCACAGCCGTATAGATACTCTGATGTTTCACCCTCCCTTCTCCAGCTGAATGAAAGTATTCTGTCCATTCCTCAGACCCACCTCTACACCCAGGTTTCCAACCTTCTGTCATAGCTCTCCCACCACTACTCCCAGGTCAGAGATGTCCTGCTCCTCTCACATCCATCCACCCCCCACTGTCCACAGGGCTCTTACCTGCACTGTAGCAGCTATTGTAGGCCCAGTCTGGGTTGGAGGGCATACTTCGTATACATCGGAATAGAGTCTCCTGCCTTCCCTGGCCCTCCCGAGACACCACTTGACCCATGGTGAAAGTCACATCATGAAACAAGACCTGGAAGGGAAGAGATGTTGAAGAAAACAAAATAGCGTGGCTCAGTTTTGGAAGGCCTCAGGAGCCCTGACAAGGGTGCCAAGAAATGAAGAAGGGTGTTCTACGTTTGGTATGAACAGAGGATTGGGAAACCTCAATATTGGGGCATAAGGCTCAGAAAACAGGCCTCCGGGCTCCCATGTGAGGTTCAACGTTTGGGGTTACCTGACTGTACAGCAGATAAACTCCAGCATCCCAGACTCGAACAATATATCCTTGGGCCTCCAGGCCTCTCCCGCGCTTAAGAGCTGGTTGCCACATCACCTCTGTCACATCAGAGTCCTCTGGAGGTGAGGAGTGTGGCAGTCAGGATTCTGTGCATTCACAGGTACTTTTCACCTTTAAGATTCTCGTGGGCTCGGGTGCCAGCCCCAAAGTTCCCAGATCTTGCCCTTCCCCAAAAGCCATTATTTAAAATAGTGCTCACCCTTGGAGGTAATGTTAATGGGAACAAGGTGCAGAACTGAGTGCTTCTCTGAGGAGAGAAGGAGGAAATCTCAGCAGTGCCCACCTATCCCAGTTGCCCTGTTGTCAGCCCTCCACCCTCACCCTGACTTGGGGTAATAATTTCCAAAGCCCCAAGTTGCTTGATCACCTCCCACCCCTGCTGCAGCCCAAAGGCCTCACTCTTCTGTTTATGAGTGAGCACTGCTCTCCTTTTCCGGGATCTCTCTCCATTATCCCAGGCTTCCAGGCCATCAGGGTTCTGCTCATGGAAAGAGGATTAGGGTTAGGCTAAGATTCAAGGGTCCCAGACAGCCTTTCTTCTCAGCCCTCCACCTGCCAGGAATGC